AGAGGAATACCAACTGGGCTAAAGGGGGGTGATGGGTTAATTGAATGTTTTATTTATTACAAATAATTAAAAAGGTTATTATATTAACATACACCATAATTAAATGAGGGTATCATTGTCAATTTCTTTTAAAAATCAGCGGATGAATAAAATAAAAAAGTGGAAATAACAACTCTCAAAAAACAAAGATGGTAAGAGGTTAAAAGATGAGTGTGATAAGATTTTAGACAAAACTTCAAAAATGGTCCCTGTGGTTTCCGAAAATATCAAGTTTAGTCCCTAAGTTCAAAAAACCTCACAGATGGTCCCTGTGGTTTCAAAATTTTTAACAAATGGTCCTTCCGCCTAACTTCGTCAACTTTCTACCGTTAAAGGAGGGACATTTTCGTCATTTCAATATACAGAGACCATTTATGAGGTTTTCTCTATTTAAAAAAAAAAAAGAAAAATATATATAATTATTTAATTAAAGGGCCTCTGTCTCTGTCTCTATCTCTCTCTCTCTCTCTCTCTCTCTTTCTCTTTCTCTCTCTCTCTCTCTCTCAGAGTACAAAACACCATAAAACTACCACCCATCTTCACACCTTTGTGATTCATTGCTACTCTTCTTCCCTTTGTTTTGTCGCTGCCATAAACTATAACAAGAGTTACAAAGCAACGTGTTCAGATCGAGGACTCGTATCATATACATGTTCTTTTGGGTGACTCTCTTCCACTGATAAACTTGTGACATCAATCTCAGACCTTTCTATTAAGCTGCCATGTTCTTCAAAATAAGAACTTGTTTCTGAAACTGATGTTGCCACCTCATTGCCATCTTTCTCATTATATACATGTTCACTCACTTCATCAGATGATGACAGACTTGATGCCCTGCTATGAACTGCTTCTGCCATAATCTCCAAAGAAGAGACCAGATTCACTACTTTTTGTTGATTCATCACATTCCCAACACTTATTTCATCCTCATGAAGTCTTTCATCTCCTTCCCTCACTTGAACAGATTCCACATTGTCATCGATATCATCTTCAAAAGAAATAAGTTCTGGTTCTTGAGAAAGGTCAATATGGTCCTTATTTTCAAGGTCATCAGCTGACGAAACCGATTTTGTATCAGATATAGAGCTCAACTTGGAGTCACTAACTTCACTTGATTATCTTTCAAAAGCCATTGAACCAACATGTTCAGGTACAAAGTAAGGTCTTTCATGGCTTTCAGAAATCAACTCTTCATGTTCATGTTCTTGATCTTTTTCAAAAACCAGTTCGGGTTCTAGAGAATGGTGGTCATCTTCTGTATGATCCTTATTTTCAAGATCACTAGCTGAAGATACCGATTCTGTATCAGGTATGGAGCTCAACTTGGAGTCACTAACTCCACTTAATTGTCTTTCATAGGCTAATGAAGCAACATGTTTAGCTACAAAGTAAGGTCTTTCATGGCTTTCAGAAGTATGTTCATGTTCTTGATCTTTTTCAGAAACCAGTTCTTGTTCTAGAGACTGTTCATTTCAATACACAACGACTGCTTGTTGTTTTGCGACATCCCAACCACCGCCTCCTCCTGTCGTGACCCACCACCATCAAACACCCTGACACCACTGCTTCCTTCTACCTATTGCCTCCACTCCAGCTTCCACTTGCCATCACCTCCGCCAAGAAACACCGGTTGCCACCTCGTCTTTCTCTCTGTATCGAAGACCAACACCAATCCCCGCTACTGTAAGTGTCGACCGACCACCAGCAGGCTTCTCCCCTCCCCCCGCTCATCTTTCCCGTCGAGATTAGGCAGAATATAACTGATTGGTGGGTAGATGTTGAATTTTGATTAAGAAGGAAGAGAGGAAGATGATGAAGTGTTCATCTTGGGTAAAAAGAAAAAGGAGAAGGAGGTGGGGGTATACGGTGGAGAGAGAGAGAGAGAGAGAGAGAGAGAGAGAGAGAGAGAGAGAGAAAGAGAGAGAGAGGCCCTTTAATTAAATAATTATATTTTTTTTCTTTTTTTTTTAAATAGAGAAAACCTCATAAATGGTCCCTGTATATTGAAATGACGAAAATACCCCTCACTTAACGGTAGAAAGCTGACGGAGTTAGGCGGAATGATCATTTGTTAAAAGTTTTGAAACCACAGGGACCATCTGTGAGGTTTTTTGAACTTAGGAACTAAACTTGCTATTTTCGAAAACCACAGACACTATTTTTGAAGTTTTGTCAAGATTTTATCTCAAAAAGCAACAGAAACGGGTCAATTTAATTCTAGCCATTTAGAACGGAAGGACAATAAGGTCCATTCACTTTTTCTTTCATATTTAATGATTTAAAAATAGAAAAAATAATTACAAAATATTTAAAAAAATACTTAAAAAAATATTTGGACAAATCTGATATTTTAAAAGATTAATAAAGATAAATATGATATTTAGATTTTAAGTCGGATAAATATATTATTTTGATGTTTAATAAGGACATATACGAAATTCTCTCATGTTTTAAAAAGATAATCAACGTAATTTTTTTTTTGTATGTTTACTTGTTTTTTTAGGTTAATTAGGTCACCCATATTTTAAATTTTACACTTTTGATCTAGATTTTAAATTGTATTACAAATTTGTTCAAATTTAATTTTTGTTACAAATCCGCTAGAAATTCAGTTTTCTTGTACAATTTGTTTTTTCTACAATCTTTGAAGACTTTTTATAATTATTTATAAGATTTTTTCTTAATTTGTTTTCTAACCTTTTTTTTAAATTCCTTTACAATATTTTTTAAACTTTTTAAAAAAACTTCTTTTACAATATTTTTTAATTTTTTTTTTCAAAATATATATTAGCAAACCATTTTTTCTAAGTGATTGTGTGACACTTGGATTCGATGAAATAACAAATATGATTTAAAATAAGTGGAAATAATAAAACAATGATTTTGTAAACGAATTTTTCTAAAAATGTTGGTTGGCAAAAGTCGCACGATATGATAAAAGTACACGACGTGAAGCAAAATTGGAATGAAGTCGAACTTTTGAATTCGTATTCATGTAATGTATAAGAGACACGACATCGTTTTCAAATTTCGACACAACAATAACACAAACATTGCGTTCGTGTTCATATTCAAAAGTGTTGTATATTTAGTAGCATTCTCTTTTTTTATGTTATTTTTTGTCGCGTTACTCGTGTTTAAATTATATTTTTTGCAAGAACTTACGAATGAATTTATGCAAATGATTACTCCTTGTCCATCCATCTCATACTCCTAAAGCATCTTTTTATTTCATATTTCATTTTCCTTTGCCCCCTTTCAAGCTCCCTTAGACTCGTTACGTTGTTCGACTGAACTTGTTGGCTTCACGCTCTATTTGGTCGGAACCCGATTCATCGAGAACCTTCTCTCATAGATTCCCTTCACCAAGTCATCGCCAGCAATCCGTTCATATCCCTTGGTGTCAAAGGGCAAGTTCCTTTCTTGTCTTGTCCAAAAAATTTCTTTATTCTCATTGGAGAAAGACTCTCCCTCAATTTTTTCTTATTTTTGTTGTGTTAACATTTTTTTTTTTTTGGTTTTTGTTGTGTTTTTATTGATTCATTAACGAACAAAAAGATATCAACGTGTCTTGTCATGTTCGGGTTAAGAAAAAGTAATTTGTATCGTGTCGTCTAAAGCAATAATACGGAACGACTGCCTGATTTGCCACCCTACGGATTTGTAACAAAATTTAAAATTCATACCAAATTTGTAATAAAACTAGGCCAAAAATGAAAGATGATGAACTACTTAACCACATGTAATATTAACCATACATAAAATATTAGTTGGTTACTATTTTAAAACATAAAATCCGATTATTCGATAACTTTAAAACATTGCAAAAAGTTAGATTCCATAAACCTAACAACCGAAATCTCCATTTGCATCAACGAATGATTTTAGTAATCATATTTAAATCATTAATTACTTAAATAAACATAAGAATATAGACATACCAAATCACTCATTTTGAATTGTGATCAAATATATTCTATATATTCGAGCATATTACAAAATTAGATTATCTAACTTGTTGATTTTGTCATCTATAATGTATTTCTTGGAATTCGATATCCTTTGGTTTTTGATTGCCTCTATGAGTTCTCGTATAAAATGAAATAATGGGAGGTTGTATAGATACTTTTCTAAGTCCTTATCACTTAACTTTTATATTTAGAAGTGTTTTGATAAATTAGCTTATAGTTTATTAGTTTATTGTTTATTAGTTTATTAGTGGTGAGCAAAAATAGTTTTTGCAAAGTGTTTTTATTAGAAATAAGAAATAAACTATAAGCAAAGGGAAAATACTTATTAAAATTAGCTTATTTAGTTTATCCTCACCACCAATAAACTGATTTTTAATGTTTTCTATTCAAACACTTAAACTTAACTTACAACGGTAAGAATAAACAATAAGGTAATAAGCTATAATTTACTTTTTTTTATTTATCCAAACACCCTTTTATATACACTTTATACATATTATACATATACTAATCAAACCACTAATAATTAATTCCCTTTAAGTCAATTTGTTACATGTCACCTGTGTATAGGTATGCAGCTGAACTAAATTACACAATTTTATTGCCATACTCAACGCCACACTCACAAGTCATAATTGGTTGTCCAAACCCAATCTCCTCCACCTTGGATACATCACCCAATTGAATATAATATATACTGATTATATTTATTTTAAAGTTAACTAATTGTAATGATTTATTTCGTTTTTAGCTAACACTTTGTATTTTTACTTATTTTTTTATTTGTTAGGAGAAAATATATAACAAAAATCTAATCAGGATATTACAGCTTAGAATTTATATCTGATTATAGTAATAAAAATAGTTTTGTATTTAAAAGATATTGTTATAATATAATGAACGTTTAAATATAAAAAGAAATTTATTATAATAAATAAATAAATAAAAATACGCTTTATCCAATCACTTGCTGCATTTAACGCATAAATTTTTTATGATAAAATTATTAAAATTGAAAAAAAAAAAAAAAAAAAAGGGAGAAAGAAACAAGAAATGTTGTTTTCTAGAGGAAAACGAAGGCAGAAGTTGATACAGTTGCACCTCCTCTGCATTCAGGTTCACTCGTTCATCCTGGTTATCATCACTTCTCTCTCTCTCTCTCTCTCTCTCTCTCTCTCTCTCTCTCTCTCTCCACCATTGAATGAGCTTGGTACCGAAGGTAATGTCGAAGACGACTTCATTTTCGTTTTTATGTTATCCTTCATATAACAATTTGTATCGTTTGATGTAGTTTTGTGATTGATTACTCCATTTGTGATCTATCGTTTTTGAGATTTTAGTTACAATGCATCTGCTGAGATTTTTGATATTGTGACGAGGCTTGTGTTTTGCAATTTGCATCAATTGAACAGTTAACACAGGGAATCAGGGATGGTGGTTCTATTATGAAATCGGTTGTGTTATAGTGTTCTTTCTAATACATTGTTCATTACCGATAGATTAGTTAAAGTAAGTGATTCGTGCTGTTATTGACTGAACGTTATTACATGTATGTTATCGGCGATTTGTTGAATGTCAATGGTTTGACCTGCGATTCGGATTGTACATGATCGATTCAAATTGGAGAATGAATCATTGGCATAACATTTGAATTCGGGTGGATGTACTTTATAACTAAACTCAATTATAAATTCAAAGTTGTGGAGCAAACGTTAAACTAAGCTGATACGATCTTGCGCATTTGTGTTGCGAAACAAATTGGGGACGATGAACATCATGAACAAACATTTAGATAAGCTGATAGGTTATTATGTATTTGCGTTGGAGCAACAGATTGGGGCTCGCACAGTTTCAATCTCTGTTCCAGATCTTGGGATTTGGGTGCCCTGATTGTATTGTAGCATCGCAACCCCTTTTTTTTTTTTGTAAATTTAATGATTACTTTGATGGTTGTTATACATTTTCTCTTTTTATTATAATCTTCTCTTTTCTTCTGTTCAGAAACTTCAAGCAAGTAATTACCAGTAATCCTGAAGACCTGTTCAACAATCATGTACTTTATGCTCAAGAGGAAGCATATCATGGTTTCTGTAAAACAATGTTCTGAGAGTAAATGACACAATTTCATACAAGTTGAATCAAGCTACACAAATGATGTCTACAACTGCAATTGGACTAAGGGCAACAAATAGCCTCTTGGGTTCATCCTATTTTTACTCAGATACAAGTGAAAAGTTCTCCTGCAATGGTGATATTAGCTTCACATTTGTCACTACTAAGAACACAATCACCGCAAAGAAACAATCCAACTACAGCCATAGTCTTACATCCAAACGAGATACAGATTCCCATTCCATTAGAGCTTTAAAACAACATGTAGCTACTTCTTCTGATCCTTCAATCTCTACAGACCAATGGGTTCAAAGATTTCACCACTTGGAAGACAAAAGCTCTGAACAAGAACTTCCTGTTGAAGCTTTACTACTTTTACAATCTTTTCTGGAAAAGCAGTGGAAACTTCCAACCGAGAAGAATACAAACACAACAACAGATACTCCCACAGAAAAAAACAGCAAAAAAATACACATCATTAGCTCTCAGATATCTGCACGAAAGCGTAGAATAGAAGCAAGGAAGAAAACACCAAATAGTTGTTCTGAAATTGGTTCAGAGCTCCTTCAAAATCAATTTAAAGGTCATGTTAAAGGGGTAAGAAGTGAAGGACTTCTCACTCAATCAGAGGTGATCATTCTATCAAAGAAAATCAAAATCGGTTTACGCTTGGAAGAGCAGAAATCAAGGTAACTAAAATTTGCATATAATAATAGCCATAAATTACATTACTTTATCGATAATAGCAATGTGCTTGATTCTTTATTAACTATAATAACAATGTACATACATTTTTTTTTTATGAATATGGGAATTGAACTTTATCTGTTACATATTTTTTGTATCAATATCATCAAAAAAAACGTTAATGTAAAATTACTGATATTGAGCCTATTTTTCAGACTGAAGGAAAAATTGGGATATGAACCTTCAGAAGGGCAACTTGCAAGTTCCATGAGGATTTCAAGAATGGATTTAAGAAAAAAACAAATTGAAAGCACTTTGGCAAGAGAGAAGCTTGCAATGAGCAATGTCCGTTTAGTGATGTCTATTGCAAAAAGATATGATAACATGGGAGCTCAAATGGCTGATCTTATTCAGGTGCCTTACTTTTTAAATATAATAAATTGCCATTACTTATAGCTGAAGAATTCTCTTTTTTTTTTTTAACCATTAACTAACTTATTGTCATCTAGGGAGGTCTAATTGGACTACTTCAAGGGATCAAAAAGTATGATTCATCAAGAGGTTTCAAGATTTCTACCTATGTTTATTGGTGGATACGACAGGTGAATTATGGATGGTTTTTATTTATTTTTTAAATTCACCATCAAGGAGGGTATTTACGTCTTTTTTTTTTTTTTTATGACAGGGTGTTTCAAGAGCTCTGATTGAGAATTCTAAAATCCTAAGATTACCTACTCATTTGCATGAAAGACAAAGTGCAATCCGGAATGCCAAAGCCAAACTAGAGGAACAAGGAATAACTCCATCAATTGATGTAAGTTAAACATAACAATTTATTTATTTATTCTTTTCTTTGCTTGCTTACTTGCTTTCTTTACCACAGAGAATTACAGAAAGTCTGAACATATCCAGAAAAAAAGTTATAAACGCAACTCAGGTACTAAATATCTTTGCTAACTTGGTATTTCCATTTTTTTTCTCCATGTTCTTAATACAAATATAAAATATATTACTTGATGTAGGCAATCACTAAAGTATTCTCACTTGATAATCCTGGACAAACGCTGGATAGTGTAAGTTGAATATTAGCTACTTATTTTATATTTATCAGAGTTGTAAAATTCTCTCAACTGCCACGTCACCTTCTCTATTCTTAACCCTTTTTTTTTTTTTTTTTGTAACTCCTGCAGGACATTGCAGATAATTGCATGGAGAATGACCCATGGCATGGAGTAGATGAAGCAGCTCTCAAGGTATTTATTTCAACAAAAAAATGTAATATTCAAATTAGATACATTTAGGTTATCTAAACTAAGCTCCAATCATTTGGATCCCCTTTAAGTATTTAATTTGAATATTACATTTTTAAAAGGTGGAAGAAAATAAAAGAGAGGCTAATCATTGAAAAAAAAAAGGCATAACAAGATAAGACAGAGACTTAAACATTGAAAATAGCCCTAAAAAGTCTGTCGAATTTGCAGTATGAAGTAAACAAGCTCATAAACATGACTCTAGGGGAACGTGAGAGGGATATCATCCGTCTTTACTATGGTTTGGACAAGGAATGCCTTTATTGGGAGGATATCGGCAAAAGGTACAAACTCATTAAATTTCTATTTTAGGAAATGTACTTTTAAAATCAAGTTTAAGAGACTATGTTATAAGTTTATAATCAATTCAACAACCTAGTTGCCAAATAAGGTCCCGATTACCAAAAGTCAATTTTTATTTCAAACAACTTATCTCTTCTTTGATTATAAACTTATATATATGAATTTTCAGAATAGGGTTATCGAGGGAACGTGTTAGGCAAATTGGACTTGTTGCATTAGAGAAACTAAAAGATGCTGCAAGAAAGAATGGACTTGAGGAAATGCTGGTGAAACATTAATTTTGTTATGTTTTTTGTTTTTTTTGTACTAGTAAAGTTTGTGTATTCCCTAGTTAAACATAGTAAAGTATATATACTACACTAAGAGTTGAGTACACTATATAGAATAATCTTCATACACATAATGCAACAAAAAGTTGCATGTATCATTTTGTTCCAAGAGAATATATGTTATTGCGAGTTTGTTTCGATGTACATCTTGTGTTTGTTACAATGAATGTGATTTCTAGGGCTATTTTAGGTGATAGAGGAAACATTTTGGGTTGGACAAAAAAGTGGAACTTTTGTCCTATTGACATCGATTTTAATCTGAGTTCCGTGCATGTCAAATACAATACAAATTGTTTTTGTGATGATTCATCTTGGATAACAAAATGTACTTAAATTAACACTAATGGCAGTAAATATGAGGCGAAGACTATCAATATGGTCCAAGAATATGTGAACAAAGATAACATGTTATTATGATGGATAACAACTTAAATAAAAACATCAAAGTATTTTACAAAAGGAAAATGTTTATTAATCTCAAGGTGCCTAGAAAAGGTTCATGTTCAACCATTTATATAGGCAATAACCAAATTTTGAAGGTAGTGCAAATTTCTGAAAATTAAAATAGAGACAATTTTATTCAAATTAACTAGTAATCTAATGGGCAACTGATTGATATACAATATTTTTTTATATACATAATAATTTGTGTCTTAAAATATTGTAGTGTGTAACTCTATAAAACATAAATTGTTGTGTATGGATTTATTTATTTATTTATTTTTATTTATTTTTTGTGTACGAATCACTTTCCAAATCTAATCTAATCAGGTGAATTTTGGAAAGAAAGTAAATCACATGATTTTACATTTAAACATAATATTTTAAAACTAGAAATGAACGGAAATTAGGTGAAAGTCAAACTTGAACTCCATCAAGCTCAAGTACTTGACTAACTTGATAAAAACTCACAATGCTAAATACAACCATGTAATACGCATGCCAAAGCCTAAGAAACAACTCGTTTATGAAATACTTTTTTCTTATTAAGTCTACTATTAATCGGGTTTCATTTTCAGGAAATACGCTTTGAATATGGGTGTCTTAAATGTAAGGGCATACTCATGATTATGCATTTCATATACCGCTTTTAAGAACCAACAATTTTCTACAACTTTCAGTTCGAATGGACACTTTTTTTCTAGCAATATTTTTTGTGGATATATATATATATATACTTTTGTAAACCCCACCACGATCCCACTAATAGATATTTTTTTATAATAATGTAACCAAGTCCTTGCCCCATCTTTTGAACACAGTCTATTAATTGTTGACAATAAGTGAATGCATGAAAATGATTTTTTTTTATCTATCAAAAACTAATAAAGTTATGACTAATAAATGTATTGATAAACCTAAAGCTTCTTGTCTACGGACAAATATACATTTCTTTTACAAACTGTATATTTTTTAGAAGACTGAATACAATCTGCATGTCCTCTTCTCCAAAAAGACATTATCCAATGTTTTCCAAATCTTTCCGAAATAGAAACACTTGCACAAACATTTATAATGAAGACTTGTTTGTGTTGGTGGCAACTTTCCATCCAAATGCAATGTTCCTTTCATTGTTGCTTCAAAACCCTCATGCATTTTATTTATTTGTTTTATTAATTACATAAATAAGTCAGTCATCTCTTTTCTAAAAAACCTAAGTTTTTTTTATTTAAGTTTCATATTTTAATTGTGAAGTGTTTTTTGTATATTTATAATTTATATTTGTTTTAGCCACATGAAAACTTTATAAACAATCAATTTTCTACTAGAGTAAGCCCTTCCCATGTGTAAAAATGAATTGCGGCCTCAACCATAGATATCAACATGCACTTTGATGTTAGGCCCTGACAGAAAGTTTTCCGAAACCGAACTAAATGGAATTGCTACTTTCAAAAAATGTTTGCCGAAAGAAAGATCCATTTTTCACATAGTTCATTGGTCAAACCAACAATTCTCTTCTCAAAGTGATATGAAGATCATTTTCTAGTTAGACTTGTTGCAATGAAAGAACTATCCCTTCCTACATTTATAATTTATATTTGTTTTAGCAACATGCAAACTTTAAAACCAAACAATTTTTTTCTTATAGAATGCAGAAGTTTGGTTTGTATTTTTTCTATACATATGGTTCGGGGACTACATATATTTTATTTTAAAAAAGAAACATCTAAATTTTTATCTTTATCTTTTAATATTTTAGAATTCATATTTCTTTTTTATTTATTATCTTTGCCACAATATGCGATACATATTTGGATATAAACAAATAAAATATCCAGTGAATCTTTGTGTTGAGAAACACATTTGCAAATTTAATATTTAAAGATCTATGTTATCATCTCTAATAAATTAATTTTTTTTTACTTGTCACACTCTCATTCAATTTGTTAAATATCATTTTATGGTTATTTTGAATTATTGTTTTCCATATCATTTTATGATTTTTTTTTATTTTATTAAATTCCACATAATATTTTAATATAATAATTGCAATAAATATAGTAATAAATAGATATCAAATTTATTAATGAATTTACATTTTAATTTCAATTTTCCACATAATATTATAGTGGATTTGTTTAAATTTAAAAGATTAAAAATATTTTCATTATAATAATTTATTATTTTTTTTATTTTCTTATAAATTTAAAATTTTTAAATATTTTGACATTTATATTTAGTTTTTTTTTTTTTTTTTTTTTTTTTAAAATTAACTCATGTAATACATTAATCTCACAACCAATAAACTAATAATCAAATAGTTTATTACTAAAAGTAATATATATTTTAGATAATCAAAATTTTATTTGATTATAAACCTATAATGTGATTTATTAAATGTTAATTTTTAAAAGTATGTTCCTAAAATGAAAATGATTAAAGTTACACCCTTTATGTATAATTTACGAAAATATTAGTTATTTTAATTAAATTAGTTTACTAATACTTTATTATTTTTCACGAATAAAAACAATAAAAATTCAAACGTAATGTTAGGATATGGTGGCAGTAAGGTTAAAAGCAGAGACACCTCGTAAATTCCCATGTTTGTTTGTTACATTCTTCCTCTCTCCCATCTGTCGGTTTGTTAATATCATCCTCCCCTCTTCATTGCCTTCCATTGATTAACGAATCAAGCTCCCATAATTCTCTTCTGCTCTTGCTTTTCCGGTGAAGATCCAGTTTTCCGGCCGTCAGACACCGTTGGATCAGTCGGCCCCTTTATATATCACTGCAAATTCTTTATCATGAATCACGAGTAGTAAGTCTCCGATCTCTGTTATCTCTTATCGTTTTTAGTCCATTCGCGTGTTAGATCTGCTTCTGTTGTTAATTATCAACAATGATTAATCTCTATTGCCATTGTTGTCGATTCGGTTTAATTTAATCGGATCTCATTTGTTGTCGAGATGATCGTGTAATTGCTTAAGCTTGTCTTCCTTTTCTCTGAATCAATCGCATCAATTTTAACATTACGTGCTAAAACTCCGTTGATCTTCTCTAATCGCTAGAATTTGAAGTTTGAAAACGGTATATACGTTTGCGAGAATTGCGTAGGGACGTAACTCGATATATCCGATTACATTAGGGTTGCGATTAGTGATGAATTGACAATTGTATTATAGTTATTCGAAATCAATTCAATTCGTTCATTAAAATATGCTCTTTTCATCGCATGTAACACTTTCCATGTCTATTCCAGTGATTACTTGTTCAAGCTTTTGCTAATTGGAGATTCAGGAGTTGGAAAATCATGTCTGTTGCTTAGATTTGCTGTAAGACATAATTCATTAATTCTACCTACATTATACACATATTGCTTGATTTGATATTCCATGGCTTCTTATTTCTTGCTTTGATCTCTTTGATACAGGATGATTCATATCTCGACAGCTACATAAGCACAATTGGTGTTGACTTTGTAAGAATCTAATCTTATTTATATTGTATCCATGTTCACAGTTTATTATGATGAAGATTATAATCTCTCATTCACTCTGCAGAAAATTCGCACAGTGGAACAAGATGGAAAAACCATTAAGCTTCAAATTGTGAGGATTTTCTTCTGAAAATAATCAAATATCTATAAAATAATATTTGTATGAAACTAATGTTGAATATTTATGAAGTGGGATACTGCTGGACAAGAAAGGTTCAGGACAATTACTAGTAGCTACTACCGAGGGGCACATGGCATTATAGTATGCTTTTTCAAAATTCAAGTTCTTATAATTTAAGAATTAGAAAAATTATCAATTGATAAGAAATAAGTAATAGAAATTGATTGTCTTTTATGCAGATAGTTTATGATGTCACTGATCTAGAAAGTTTCAACAATGTTAAGCAATGGTTGAGTGAAATTGATCGCTATGCAAGTGAAAATGTGAACAAACTTCTTGTTGGAAACAAATGTGATCTTGTAGAAAGCAGAGCTGTGTCTTTCGACACTGCTAAGGTACATATTTTTTGTAATTTTGTATTTTAAAAAGAAGATAAAAATATAATACTCCGATATTATTTTGTTTAGGAATTCGCGGATGGAATTGGTATTCCATTTATGGAAACTAGTGCTAAAGATGCAACAAATGTTGAACAGGCTTTTATGGCCATGTCTGCTGATATCAAAAACAGGTACCCCACAAAAGGAATTCATTTTTAACATTCTTGGAAAAATACAATGATGGAATGTAATTACTGATTCCATTCCTTCAAATACACAGGATGGCAAGTCAACCCGGGTCAAACAACATGAGGCCGCCATCTGTGCAGCTCAAGGGGCAGCCTGTCGGGCAGAAGGGCGGTTGCTGCTCAGGTTAATAAATAAAACTATCACCATTCACCACAAGTCACAACACTCCAATTTGCTTTTCAAGTTTTTTGCTTTTTGCTTTTTGCTTTTTGATTTTCATGTAAGCTATTATTATAGTTTCTGTTTTTTTTTTTTTTTCAAGAGTATGATTTTTATTAAATGGGTTGTACAAATTGCTGCTAGTTTTCACTTGCTATTCTTTATTCATGGAAGCATTTAGACATAATTTGTAATATTTTTGGAACCATCTTTCAAATAATATACCAAATTCTTGCATATGTGATTTCAACATGCGGGATTAATTCTCTGTTTTTAAAGTGATTATATGATATTCGATAATCAAAGTTGAGTGATCGGCAAATTATGAATTTTTTTTTGATAACTGATTGTAAAATGATCAAAATGACATTCTTATGTAATGCTAGAATAGTTCATATTTGAAATATGAGGTGAACGAACAAACATTAGGGTTTGAAAGAGGGATAATGTGGTAAGTTTGTTTTAACTTGGATGCTTACTATTGTTGTAGGGGGCTCAACATTGAATATTTGACACTTAAATAATCAAATAATTAGAATCATTTTATATAAACAATTAAAATTAATTACCTCCAACTTGATGTCAAAATAATCGGATAATCCGTCCCAAAACCCCTTATGTGAATGTATGATTGCTTGTTACCTATTAGGGAAATCTACAGAAAAATCCAAAACTTTTGGGAAAGTTTCAATAAAGTCTTAAAAGTTTTTTTTTGAACAGAAAAGTCCCAATTATTTAATATTTTGCCCAAATTAACGAGAAAATCATTTTTATATTTGAATAGCAAATGATAGATTATATGATTTTTTTCAAAATAATGCGACTTTTCTGTTAAAAAAAAATGCTAATAAGCTTTTTTTGAAAATTTTCCCAGAAGTTTGAGATTTTTCTGTAGATTTCTCTTACTTATTGGATTGAAAGAATGAATGGTCATTAGCATAAAATTGTAATCAAGTTCCCAATTACAACAATCTACTTCCATTTGGTAACTTTTATAACTTCCTTACGGTCTATTTTGTAACTTATATACATTCTAGGGTCTATTTTGTAACTGATATACATTCTAGATTCAATTTCACATAATACGCCAAAAAATAACATCTAACTTTCAATTCGAGATACATTCACTTTCTTTCTAACAAAGACAAATGTCACACTTTGAAGCCATAATCAATAAGCACCTAAATTTTCACTTGTTTTGATCTGGATACAAGTTGATAATTCATACATGTTGTAATTGGATTATTAGATCCCTCTTCATCAAAAATTACAACATTTAAACTTAATTCATCAAAAACCTTAATTAGAACCATACATAAGTTGGGGATTTGGCTTACATCAAAACGACCTATCAAACACAAGATCAATTTATGTTGACTTGTGCAAATCCCAACCACCATGGTCGCCCTAGGTTCCTGTGCAATTTCCTTATACTAATAAAAGAATAGTTCTTTTGTCATGTTTCATTTTATTATGTCTTCTAATTAATGTCATGTCATTTGTCAACCTATTGATTATTCATTTTAAATTTTAAATTTCTCACTCTAATTACATTAAATTAATAGCATTATAATAAAAAATAAAATAAAATTAATACAAATTATAAAGTAATATAATTTCACATATTTATTTGAATTAATGATTATAACTTTATATATAAGTAAAAAAATATATCTTAATAATTCATTTAAAATAATTAGTTAATAATTTTGAGTTTTTTTACTATAAAAATTTAATCAACTTTGTAACCGTGGTTCCTATGCGTTATATACTAGTACCAAAATAATGTTTTGTCCCATCATAATTTAAATTCATAATAGAATACAATAAATGCATTTCGTTTTTATTTCTCAATCAATTGAAAACATGGACACTCTTTAGCCCCCAAATGTCATTTCTTTATAGTAATTAATGGCCTTAATACATTGATATGTATTCATAATTTCTTACAAATATTACATAATTCTTGATTAAAGGATGATATTAGTTATGAATGATAATCTAACACTTTTATTTATCGTCAGGCATCAGATATAGTGTTTTTATATCATACAGTTTACTAATTCTTTTAGAGAAATTAAATATCCTCATACAAATTTTTCCTATTATCTTTGTACCCATGCTAAATGATGACAAGTAGATTAAAACATTATTAAGGAAAATTAAATGTGACACGTGTCATCATTTGATGTGGATAAGAGGATAGTAGAAAGAAATTGTAGAAGGATATTTAATTTCTCTTCTATAAAAAAATGGTGTCACAAACTACTTCACTACAAAAAACTAATCCGGAGTAATCAAATTCTTGTTGGGTTTCACATAGTATTTCACTTCAGAAAACATATTTCGACTTGGTGATTTGGACGGCATAAGTGATATTAGTGGGTTGTTTAGTTAGTATAATGTTAGATAGGTCTGATAACAATTATATAGTTCTTTTGGAAAAGATTTGGTCAATAAACAAGTTATTAACTTTAATTTTTTTCGTATAGAAACCCTAGTTTTTGGTTATTGAGAAAATTATTCTATATTGTCTTGTTTTTGTTATAAATATGTTTATGTTGAAGTGTATCTGTCTCTAAGCTTGGTAAAAGATTAGAGTTGTATAACATAGTCAACAATAATTTGTGAGTTTTGGGTTCGATAGTGTGTTAATGTACAAAATCCACCATATTATTATAGCTCTTCATTTTCAGTGCAGTCTAAATTTTTATATTTGTTTAAACCGTGGAAGAGTAATAATGTATATTCTTCTTGATCCGTTGGCCAGAAGACCCCATGGCTAGATTCTTTTGTATTATATTCTTCTTCAATAATATAATTAAATTGTTGAGAATCAATTTAATTATACTATTTCATATAATTTGTTATTAAAAATTCTTACAACTACCAACATTTGATGTGACATGATGAATATTAATTTAATAACTTTAACTAATGTTTATATTTAATAAGTCGCAACTTTAAATATAAATAAATTCTAGCCTACTAGATTCAGTGGCGTATGATGAAGAGGATGATTCATTGATGGTATATTTTATTTTCTGTGTTCTGTCTGGGTCCGGCCCAACTTTCTTTCTTTTCATTTTCATTTTGCAAAGTTTTAATTTATTTTTACAAATTTGGTCACCCAACTATCCTTTTATTATTTTGGCCCAGCTTTAATTTGTTTTACAAATTTGGTCAACATTTTTTATTAAATTTATTTTACAAATTTGGTCTCATAACTTTAACCTTTTATCGTTTTGATCCACTTTTAATTTGTTTATAAATTTAGGCCATTTTTTTTAAATCGCCAATTTTTTCTTATAATCATTTTGGCTCAGTTTTAACTTGTTTTACAAATAGGTACATTTTTTTGAAGAAAATTTTGGACAACAAAAAATTATATTTTTTGTTTTTTTTTTTTTTTTAAACTTAGTCTTTTTGTTAAAGTGATAATTTTATAATTTCCTTTGTATCTTTTTTACGGATTTACTTTTACAAAGTTTTTTTACATATCTACTAATTTGTTTCACATTTGTGTTTTGAAATTACCTAATCTGTAGTAGTTACTTTGCATATTTGTGTATGTACTTTTTACATATTTATTTTAATCTTAAATGGTGTTTCACTAATCGAGAAATTAGTTTTTCTTTATCAACAACAGACCTTGTATCTAGCGCATGATAGCATGAGCTACCCTTTAAATTCTCCATCAAATTTAATATGTCAGTAATCCATCTGTAATGGTTTTAGTGATGGATTTACCACGTATCAATTATAAACCATGTTAAAATATTGATGTAGTTGAGTATTCACTAATATATCAAACCCGTAAATATTTTTTTCTTTATCCACAACTCCTGATTTTTATATATATTCAATTAATAATCATAATATAGATCATATCTCAATTTGGAAACTAGTTATAACTTATAAGCTGTAATATTTTTAGGGTTCCTATGTATTGCGGGGATGCACCCCTTACTTTATCTAATTTGTTGACGAAAAGGCTTGTCAACTTAACGACATTTAGATAACAAAGTTATTTTGAGATAAAATAAACCAATCGAAAAATCAAGGGGCTGAAATTATCGATTACATAATTATAAGTGGACGAAAGTCGAAATTTACAGAAGTCATCTAGAACTTGACGTCAGCAAGTGTGTAGTTTATACGTACATTCACCACGTGATTGATAATTTTCAAAATAATATATTTGTTTTCTTTTTCTCGGTCTCAACTTGCCCACTTGCAATTTCCAACCATATGAACCTTCATTGATGGTTCCTATGGCCCACATTAATATCTTTAATTACAAATCAACCCATCAAGTTTTGTTTACTTTTTAAGATGTTATTGTTTAATTTGTTTTTTTTATACAAATAAACTTGCAATTGAAAATCAGTTCTTATTTTGGTCATTGCATTTATAATCTTTTATAATCCTTCTCAACCTTATCCACGAGCTCATATGCACCAATATTGCTATATGCATTGGTTCATTTGGCTCTAGTGACATTTAAGTTAAAGTTGATGAATCCTTATATTTGCAACATATTGTTTTAGATCCTTGTACGTGGTTTCTTTTTTCTCTTATTGATATTTCGCTATTCTAAAACTACCTAAGAAATAACAAAGTGAAATATTAGAAAATAAATAATTAAATGTAATGGTGTATGTATAAATGCCATCCATGCACGTTCCTACATATAGATTTTTACTTTCTTACCACTAATGCAAGAAACGTGGGAACAATTAAATAATAATGTAGATACATAGTTGTATGAATAATGATTAAATAGGAAGTCGTTTTGAGCAACAACATAATCTTGATTATTCTATAAATATATATCGTTCTAAAAAAACATAACCTTGATTATTAATTGAAGAATGAAACTAACCAATATACTCTTAACATCCAAAATTACCTTTCGAGTAGTTTCCTAATAATCAACATGAGTTTTCTTGGTGATTTTAATGGCATTGGATGATTTTAGTATAATAAAATTTATAAGGTTACCAACGAGAGCTCAAATCTTGATTATCTTAGACAAGTTTTAGGAAGCGTATATTGCACGCTTTGTATAAAACAAATTTGATCTTAGTTCGATCAAATAACGGGAGTAAGGGGGCAGTGCCTATGGCGATATATAATTTTGAAATATGTTTGATAATAATTATCTGAAATTGTGTCATCCTATAATTATGGGATGAGAAATTAGATATCGTTATACTTTTTGTTATTATTATCTTCCTACCTATT